CGCAACAGGTACTTGTAAAACTATTTATTCTTTTATCATGTTTGAATGTTTCACTTACAGCAAGATATTTTAGTATTTTTGAATATAGTATAATATTCAGTTGTGCTTGAACGCCGCCTTTTTGTACTGTAAACAGGAAGTATCAGTAAATGTCAGATTATACATGTAGCTCCGCGTTACATGTGAATATTTAAGTCATGCATATTGTTGTTATTTAACGGAACAAATTGTAACTTTGGTTGACAATTTTGTATTTACAGATACCTAATAAAATTTATGTTTGGACGACTCATTTATATGCAGAAAATGGCCCAAGATTAATATCACTCCAATTACAATTTAGTCTTTGTGGTTTGGTGACTATGCAACTTCACCCAGTTTTGGCGTCTACATTTGGCGTCCCATTTTTCCCGCGACATTTAGAAACTATTTGGCATTAATCGTCAAGTAAAATATAAATATGAAATATGAATATGATGAATGCGAACACTGAAAACACAAATAACATAAAATGTTGAATAAATGGAGCAAAATATAATGAATAAATATATCCGAAGCAGATATCAATTAACGTAGTTTATGTATTACTGGAAATTAGTAGGTCAGGGATTTTGTTACCACAAGTTAACTAAAACTTTTACTAAATCATTTCATTGATGCAAATATTTTTTAAGGAAGTTTGGCTGTACCTGTAGAAAACTTGTTAAAATAGGATTACACATCTCTTTTTTTTTTACGGTGCTGTTGTTTTTTTTAAAGCCCGTTATTTTAGATACGATTCATGTAAACTCATGGATTCTTTGAATAAACTTATTCTCGAAGGATATCAATTTAACACCGTAGTAATTTTTTCTATGTAGTTTACATCGTAACTCACATTGATAAACTAAAACATAACTAAATATATATTCCTATACTAATATGAGTACTCATGGTCCTACATCCTGTCGATATACTGTTTTTTGTTTTTAATATTTTGACATTGCACAAGGTCATCGTTTCTCAGACTGTTGATAACGTCGTTAACCAAATTCGTCCGTTTGTTTTCTACTGATTGATAATTTAGTCTTGGAAAACATGATTTAGTTATTATGAAAATAAGGAGACGTGGTAAGTAAATGGCTTTGGACTTATTTTCAGTAACTGCGAGTACTCCTATATCTATACTGAACCTTTTTTTTTGGAACCAAATGTCTTTATCCCCCCACCTAATTTTCAAATGAAATTTAGAATCAAACAGTCTATTTTAAAAAAGAAATCATGCCCCTCCCAGTTAAATTCCCTGTGCTTAAAGAGATTAAGGATTTTTTTAATAGATATGATCAGAAGTCCATTTCTATTAGCTAGGGTCATAGAATTCAGGTATGCTGGATAAACATAGGCGTATATAAAAGCTAGAATTTCCAAGGAAAGATAACATGCTTGACTTATTTGTACAACTCTACCTGGGGTTTTATAGAATAGAGAATAATAGACAAAATTGCAGAATGAAGGGCTAAACAAAATAAAGAATAAATGAAGGGTTCCCCAACCAGACCCTCCAACCTACATTAAAATATCTAAAGATCCATTACAGGTATATATACTTGTTCTGATCATAACATTGCAATCTGTATACTCAAAAGAGCGAAACAACTTCAGCATCAGCATATGATTTATGTATGGAAACATGTTGACGTTACAGAAAATAAAAATCTGAGAGAGAAACGCAATTTCCCATGAAAAGCTCTCATCCGTAAGACTTCTCGAGGGCATTTATTATGCCCATCATCATTTCTTAATATTAAACTGACGTGTTCTACAATATAAGGGCGGCTTTTTTCTCATACACTTCCTCCAAATATACTCATTTGTTCCATGTACGTCCACTCAATATACGCTTTTGTCTCATGCACATCCACCAAATATACTCATTTGTTCCATGAACATCCACTCAATATACACCTTTGTATCTTGCACGTCCAACAAATATACTCATTTGTTCCATGAACATCTACTCAATATACACTTTTGTATCTTGTACGTCCACCAAATATACTCATTTGTCCCATGAACGTCCAATCAATAAAAACTTTTGTCTCATTAAATCGACCTGAATATACTATTTTACATTTAATCTGGGACTAGTATAATATTCCAAAATTCAATATACACATTATACACATTTGTCTCTTGGATATCCACACAATATACTCTTTTGTATTTTGTATTAGGCTCCCTTTTTGATAACATGTGTGGTCCTGTAACATTACACGATATCAAATTGTCTTTTATACGTGGATGACTTAATAGGAATGATATACGAATCCTAAAATGGATTGCAAAATTGTTTCAACAAATTAAACGAATATTGTGAGGAATGGAACTTAACAGTCAAATCGAATCTTAACAAGACTGAGGCAAAGGTATTTGATAAAATAAAAACGACCCGAAAAGCGGAAAATATAAGTTTATTTTTATATAATGAATAAGTTGAACAATGTACATAATAATACAATAGAAATGATAGAAATAACATTTTAATCATCTGGAACTTTCCCCAGTACTGCAAATGTCTTGTGTAGAGAAGTGTTAAGGCATCATTCTGTATAAAGAAAATGTTGTAGTTTGATGTTTTTTACTATATTTCATCTTTGCCTCGGGTTTAAAATGTTGACGACATATGTCCAAGTTTTGTCTTACCTTTAAGAAATTTTATAATTCTTATGTTGCTCCAATTATGCTTTATTGTAGTGAGATATGGTCACTTAATTTGGTGAAGAAAGACAAAACACTTGAAGCAAAGTATTTGTCAATGAAATCTGTAAAACTTTAAATCAAATTGGCCCAAAGAAATCTACTTTCAAAATTGACTTTTTTCAAAGGCAGTAAATAAAACTGTATTGCCTAAACTGGAAATGAAGCCAGGGCCTGTTTGTATACAAGCTCTGAAGTTCTCTGTACAGGAATTTGGCTTCATATTTTAAACTCAAAGGAGTTATTATTATATGATGTTGAACATTAATTGTTCTACTTTAAGGATGTTCGCTACTCTGTTTCAAAATAACAAGCTTTTTTAAAGACTGTTATAAATTGATAGTATATAAATAAAGGAACTGAAAAAGCAGAAAAAATGTAGGGTCCGTGTGCTTGTTTTAGAGATATAAGCCATTGAAATTTTGGCGGGAAATAATTCTCTCTAGACTTTTCTTACATTTAACATTTGCACCCTTTTTCTTTCAAAAATTATGAAAAAATAACAAGGATTTTATAGGATTTTCAAATATGGCTTTTTAAATTATTAGTAATAAGATTATAAAAAGAAAAGTAAGGGTTAGCGGGGAAAATTTTTTAATGACACTACATGGATAAAACCAGAGGATTCCGAATATCTGGCAAAAATTCAAAAACAAGAGGAGCGAACATCCTCAACAAAAAATCTAAATGAAAAATACAACAAATTTTGAAAGAATTGCTCATTTTAACGCAGATGATAATTAAATTGAAAAAAAAATAAGTACGAATTTAAAAGTTTTTTTTCTGATTGAACATAGATACAAATATTATGGAAAAAAATGTCAAAACAAGAATAACTAACAGTACGCCAGCGATTGAACGTGGTCAATATAAAATTATAACAGCTTTAGAAGCTAGAGTGTCCCATCAGCGGCACTACGTAACTACGCAACATTTGAAAATATATATCCAGCCTATGTACAATATATATTGTTATAAAAAGTAACAATTTATTAGAGATAACGGATCCTGTCAAAAACTGCTACAAACTACTTTAAAAATTAGAAAAAAACCAACACAATTGACGACTTAATACTTGCAAAACTGTGTTGCAGTAAATAAGAAATTAAACTAGAGCCTGTGCCGCTCACCTGCATCTTTAACAATGACCACTTTTTGGTAAAAATCATCATTAAGGTGCAATAATGTCATAAAGAGTTAACTTACAATTTAATCATTTTAACATATTTAAAAATGTTGCCCTGCAGATCATTTTTGCTTTTTAAAGTTTCTATATGTCTGTTATTGTAGTTTTCAAACTAATATGCAAAAACAAGTTAAAAATCATAATTAAGGGCAATAACTCTTATAAGGAGTTGACTGACGATATGGGCCATGTTGACTTATTTGTAGATCCTGTCTTGCTGATTATTTTTGCTATTTAGATTTCTATTTATCTTTATAATAGCTTTCAAATAAAGGGCAAAAATGCAAAATGAATTGGTAAAAATTGTTATTTAAGGTCAACAACTGCTATAAAGTGTCGACCAACCATTTCAGCATTTTTGACTTATTTGTAGTTCTTGTCTTGTTGATAATTTTTGCTATTACAAGTGTCATTCTATCTGTCATAATTTTCAAGATAATGGACAAAACCGCAAAAATGATGAAAAATCGTTCTTTAAAGGCAATAACTCCTATAAGAAGTTGACTGATGAAGTTGACTTATTTGTAGATCTTGTCTTCTGGATTATTTTTGAATTTTAAAGTTTCTCTACTTTTATTATAATTATTATAAGTTTAAAAAAAAAAAGAGGCAAAAATGAAAGAAAAAAAATTGGTAAAATTAATCATTTTAGGGCAATACTTCCTATGTGAAGTCGTCTGACAGTTAAGATATATATACACAGAAGGTAGATCTCAACATTTTGATAATTCATGCTCTATCCGATTTTTACTATCTAAAGCAGTTTGCAAGATAATAGACAAATCTTGCATTTTACCCCTATATTCTATTTTTAGCCATGTTGGCCATGTTGATTGGGAAGCGGGGTCATCTGACACAATTTTTAAACTAAATGTACCAAAGATGATTATGCTTAAGTTTGGTTCCAATTGGCCCAGTAACAGAGGATACGATTTTTGTAACAAAATATTGGACGACGACAGACAACATACGCCAAGTAGTGAGAAAAGCTCATTTGATCCTTAGGTTCAGTTGAGCTAAAAATTAGACAAAAATAAAAAATATAGAAAACTTAATACTTACTAAATGTTGTTGTTGTTAATATGAAATAAATAAATAATTTAAAAAAAAGCAAAATCAAAAAAATATACACACGTACAAAAACGGAAAAAATATATACATACAAAAAGTCTTTTAAAAAAACCAATGAAGCAAAAAATCCTTTGTGTTTGTTAATTTCTTTATAAATCAATTCATCTTAGACAAATCTTACCAACTATCTTGTTATACCAAATATGCAAAAAAAAAAAAAAAAACACCTGAAGAACACTGACGATGTTAGGAAGGGTCCCTGGTGTATTTGTGCCAGGCACAGAAACAAATAATCAATACCGATACAAACGAAGAGATACACAGTTTTTTTTATAGAAATTTTGATACAAGGAAATAATTAAGGATATGTTCGAAGTTTCGTTTAAAAAAGTGACACAAGGCTTTAATTTGAACAGTAATGTTAATACTTTTTCATTGAAAACCTAGCACAAAAAGATGTATCTAAAAAATTGTGATCTTTGAACAAGAAATAATTTGATACCACAATTCTGTTATTCATTTTTGTCTAAATCAAATTTCGACAACAGGAATCAATCTACAGTAGCATATTATACCTGTTTTCATTGAAGTCCTATAACGACAAGATGTTTTTTCTCAAAATTTTTAATTTTGCTACAAAATTATTTTCCCCCAAAAATTAATAGCTAATTTTCACACAAAAAAATAATATTCATTGCTAAAATTAAATTTCATTTTCCATTGTTTTAATATAACATAATAAATTATCATGTAAATTCCTAAATCAAAAGTGAGAAGCAACACATAAAGTTACTCACATTTTCACTATTTCATTTAGCAAAAATAGTTACACTTAATTTAAACTGGTTGTAATTTGATAAGCCCCGAATTACTTTTTGTTTTAATAACACTTCTGTTTTTCAGTTTTCACAATATATATATACTATTCAACCTATGTCAACATTTTTTCAGACAATAATTATTCTATATTTAAATTTCAAAATGTTGGCATAGGTTGAATGAACCATGTGAACACCACTAAATAACCCTAGAATTAAAATGTTTGCTCTGATATTGTTCCTTGTGTAATTTCAATGAGTAACGAAACAAATTTGATTTAATCATTTTGTGTGAAAACAGTGACATATTTAAGAATAATCTATTAAACAAAATTAATGTTAGTACTTCTAAAAAAAATATTCAGAGATCTTACTACAGAGTTTAACAGGGCATAGGACATTTGAACGAAAATAAAAAAAAAATGCACATAGGGTCATTTGAGCGTTGAAATCATTGGACATTTAAGCGCCGGAATATTAACTTAACCTGGATTTTCAAATAGGGCGTCTGAGCTAAATTTCCTGTGATACTTCCCCCGTATCTCTGGGCCGGAGTTCTAAAACGTCAAAATGTACAAACAATGGACCCGAATCATTTCATTCCCATTATAATGAGCAATTTTATCATAGTAACCCATCATTTTTACTTTTATTGACACCATTGTCAAATTGCAATCTGAGACTTACATCAAAATTCGGAGTTCTAATATTGATGCACCTTAGAGCCGAACAGACAAGGATAATGCACAGAATCTCCTGGACTTGCATTCGTGGTACCGCCAGCAGGAAATTACTCTGTTACCCATTTCAAACCCGAACTGATTTGTAAATAATGCCGTTGACGAGTTTTAAGTTATATGACACTGCTTTGTTGTTTTTTTTTAATTAAAAGATGTTTTAAACTTTGTGCGTTATAAACTCCTCATTTTATTAACTAAATCTTGCTTGAAATCGTACTTGCACCTCCCCGTGATGAGCAGTGGTAACAGATTATATCTGGCGAACGGAATTAATATTTTTTAGCTCAAATATCCTATGTTTATTTTTATTTTCGCTCAAATGTCCTATACTTTGGCGCTCAAACGTCCTTTTTCTATCGCTCAAATGTCCATTGCCGGTTAAACCACGGTTTTTCAAAAGTCAGCTAGAACTGAGACTACTATAGTCTAAGGCTAGAACAACAATTTCATAAAACATGTCCAGAATTTACATGTACGAGGTTAATAATATTAAGGTTCATACTAATATGAACGTTTCATGAAATGAAAGAATTGATTTCCAAATACATCATAAAAGTAAAAATGCTAATTATTCTAAAAGCTGAAAACAAAAGCTGAATTTGAAAATAAAATAAACACATTGCTAAATATAACTGTTTTAATTGTCTGTTCATGGAATCTGTAGTTTGATATCTAGAACTTGATGTACAATTATCCATACGACGAAAATGATCACACCTCGTTTGTTTTGTAGTACATGTAGTAGTCGTCGTCACCAGATTCTTCTGTAAATAGCTTGCTCAACTCTTGCTTGATTTGTTCAAATCCTGAACGTTTACGTGGATCATAGTGCCAACACTTCAGCATGATTTTGTAAAACCTATAAAACAATATATCATAATGAAGATGTCTCCGCAGACATATAGTCTCTGGTTTCTCTATTAAACGTATTAAAACAGATTTTACTGCGAATGACAGGTGTTTTAATAGTATATAACCGTCATCAGTTAATATGAGACCGTGTGAGTCCCTCATGGTTAGAAAAGGTCGTCACACACCCCGTAGTACTGAAACCAAAGGTATATAGACAAGAAGACTAAATAGATCAGTATCAAATCAAGCTTTTCTGTAAGATATCTGTAAGATGTAAGGCCGACTTCTCTTGAATCTAGTCTGGGACTCTTATACTAACAATATATTATGTCCCAGATCTAGTTCACACCAGTATACAACATATGTAATGAGTACTTTAAGGTTGTAACAATATAATGGCTTATTTCTAGAAATTTCATCAAGTTTTATACACCCGAAGATAGCCCCAAACCACATATTTCGTCAAGGAGAAGGTATGATAAGGCAACTTTGTTAGCCCCTTTAATTCAAAAATTAAAAGTATTTTAAATCTATCAAATAACATATGTTCATTAGTCTGACATCAATATTTATATCTTTAATTTTGTCTTGCATTAGAGCGATAAAAACTCTTATATTTTGTGCAAAACAGTGATAACTGCCAAAATAGCCTCATTTTGATATCATATCAATTATATTTGGATACAAGCAACATCTTTTTCTATGAAAACATTTTGCTAAACATGTATTTTACAAGGTTGTCAATGTGTGTAAAATATCTGTTTAGGTAAAGCTGGTACTCATATATATTTCGACATGTTTATAAATTTATACTGTGACATCACAAATGATCTTTCTGCACTCAATCTCCAGGTTATATATTTAACTGCCCATTTATCAATAAGATAACCATACTTTTAAAAGACTTGAATAAGTTATCCATTTTTGCAATTTTAGGGCCCAAATTATGGTTCTTATAATACTGCCTTCTTTTGAGTATTTACCCCAAATATTTATAAGAAGGACATCGTTAATTAACCAAAACCTAAATTCTGCTGGAATAAAGCTATGTGTTTCTTAAGTGATACAAATTCATTCATTTTGGTTAGCGATGTTCTACGATGCAAAATTTGACAAATCATGTGTAAACTTTGTAATTTGTTTTGTATAAGCATGATTGCAATAACAACATAATACCAATTCCAAATACCAGTATGTTCGACACCAAAAGGTTGTGAAACTATAAGTCAGCATTAGTATGGTTGTTTTAACCTTAAGATAGTTTTGTGTTAATTATATAATAAATAATACAAATCATGAACTATAAAATATAAATAATAACGTATAATTTCTTCATGCAAACACAGGCTACTACGTGCATTGAAGGTAATTTGTGCATTTTTTCTTATCTGTGCGTCCGTTCGTTCGTCATAAAAGTATGTATAACTTTTTTACAAATTGAATAGAAAATAAAAGATAATACTGTTTTATACATACGCGTCATCACATAGCTCTGGCTTCTTCATTTTAGTGCCACGTTTAACCACACTAGATACGTCTGTGTTTGGTATACCTGGGTATGGTGTTTCACCTTTAGAAATTAAAACATTTTTTATCACACTGTATATAAAGAATATGAGTTTAGTGGTATCCATAAACTAAGGCAAAATAGAAAAGAAAATATTAACTATAGAATAGAAATGAATATGGTTTTGCAAAAAAACATAATCAGTGATGTCTGGTATTGTGACATTTTATTAGGGTCTTAGAACTTTTTAAAAGTTACAAACTCTCTTCAATGACACCCGTACATTATGTAGGTAGTTTGTTGCCATGCAAAATTTTTGCTCTACCCAACATACCCACGATTTCATGTGAAAGAGTTGGAAAATTCATCTTCACGGTAACATTAAGACTGACGTTTCTGCACTACAAAGTCTAATCCGAGATAATAAGATCTTATTCATTTATTTAAATAACTTACATGATTTTGAAAGTATTGAAGACTTTTACTAATTTTGCAGTTAAAGGGCTCTTATCTTACATATAAAGCGTTGATTTCTTTCCTAATGAAATTATTGTCATGTAGTGGATGTTAACCACAGTCACTTTATCGTCTCTGAAAACAATCGTTATTAAGGTATATAGGTACATTTTTACTTTTTTTCAGACACAAGTGCCTGTGGTGCTTACGCATTTCACCATTCTAATCTAAAACCTATACACTAATCATTATTACAGAGATTTTTTCGATCATAACTTTCTAAATTAAACTGAACTTTTTAAATCAAGCCTAGATACATGCTAGCTACGTCTTCTACATTAAATTTAAATATTGATGCATCTACTTTAAATGTCTCAATAATACATGTGTTTTCTATAATATTTTTGTGTTTGTTATCACGTATGTTTTTTTTAAAAATAAATAAATACCATTGTACGTTTACCGAGAACAGCCTGAAAAATTAATCTTGTCTTTCATTATAATCGTGTCGGTATTTTTTCTAATCCAAAATTTGAAACTTTAAGAATGAATCTATAAAGTCTTACCAAGAGAAAATATTTCCCACATAACAATACCATATGACCACACGTCACTCAACTCATTTGCATATTTAGTTGTTTTCATACATTCTGGAGCCATCCATTTAATTGGAATTCTCTCCTACAAAAAATTATTGTTAAGCTTTTCATGTATAATAATAAACCATCATCAATGACATATGTATTAGTAATAGAAACTTTATCGGTTCTCTGATAATTTTTTATGTTCTTCTTCGTTGTTTTCTTTCCTTTGGTAACGGTCTCTGTAAAAATTTATTCATTCTTTAGACCAATTATATAGTCACCCGAATCTCGATGAAACCCGTATGTTAACGGACATCCAGTTGTTATTTAGTTTTTTGTGTCGTTTGGTTGTTGTCTCATTAACGAACACACATATACCAACGATCGTCTTTTAAAATTTATTCAATTTTGTAAGGTTAAAAAAAGAGGTTATTTATGCTTTCTTTGAAGGGTTGAATTTTCAGCTAACTTCGTTGGCAACTACGACATCTGAAATATCTC